CAGCAGGAGTCAGGCCGGAGATGAGTGTGGAGGTAGGAGCTTTCACACTGCCACCGCAGGGGTGGACAGTATTTGGGGAAGCTCAGGTCTCTTCATCCGTCTCCCCTGGCCTCAGGCCATAAGTAAAGGGAGCCTTTGTGACAGCAGGAAGTTTTCCCTGGTGCCCTTGGGCTGGAGGAATCCTAGCTGGAGTGCCGGCTCTTACCTTTTTTTTTTTAATTCCCCTGGTGTTTGTTTCTCCAGATTTGGATTTGTGCAAGATAAATACTCGGCCTCTGCATTCAACTTCCCAGCTGAGAACAAGCCCCAGTATATCCATGTCACAGGTGAGCACCGCTTGGCAGGCACTGGGGCGAGGAGGAGGCTGTTGCAAGCAAAAGAAGCGCTCTGCACGCCGTCTGTGTTTTGTGTCGGTGCTGTTGGCCCTCGTCGTGTCTCTAGTCAGGTGACAGGGGGCTGTGTCCGCCAACACCAACCAGAAAACTGGAGAGGCAGTAGGAAAAGCACAAAGTGATGCTGCTGAGTGACAGCCTGGGTTTGAAATCTTGCTTTATAGCGTCTCCAAAACTTTTCTTTCCAGGAGATGGAGAGAGAAAAAAACCCAAGGCAGAGCTTATTCCAAGTGCAGTGTAAATAAATGCCTGTCTAGAAGCTGGAGGGAGGGAGACGCGCTGGGACAAGTCAGGGCTCCGTTCTCATGCTGGAGGTGGGCTGTGGATGCATCTCTACCCGTACGCACTGTGTGAGAGAGAGATGAGGCATTATGGGTCCATTTCCACTCATTATTAAGCTTCAGAAATGTTGGTGATCTACCAGCACCTGTAACTCCGCTCCACGCGTGGTGTAGGACAGGAAAATAACTTGGTGTGTGCAGAGGGGTTGCTGAGCCGGGAAGATGATGAGAGGGAGAAAGCTTTAGGAAAACTGCAGGAGAGAATGGAAATGGATGTAAAGTTGGAAAGATGGGTCAGAGCCTACAGCTTTGCTTCCTTCCCTTTACCAGGAGAAGGGCGAGGCTGTGTGCTCTCTCCCAGTGGTGTTATTTGCAGGAAGGAGTGTGTAGAAGCGAAGGAGGTAAAGCGTATCCCATTTTGTCTTGCTAAAAGGCAATTAAATGAAACTCAGTCCCGTTTCCTTTTTGGAATTTAATGAGCCAGCTACCAGTTGTAGGCACTAGGTCTGCCTGAGACTCAAGCCCTGTCTGTTTCCTCCAGGGACAGTGTTCTTGCAGCTACCCTATTCCAAGCGGAAATTTTCTTGCGGGCAGCAGCGACGCCGGCGCAACTCCACCAGCTCTACCAACCAGAACATGTTTTGTGAAGAGCGCGTTGGCTACAACTGGGCCTACAACACCATGCTGACGAAAACGTGGCGGTCCAGCGCCACCGGGGATGAGAAGTTTGCTGATCGGTTGCTGAAAGACTTCACGGACTTTTGCTGGAACAAAGATAGCCGGCTTGTTTTGTTCTGGACTGACTGCCTAGATAAGATGCACGCCAGTGCTCCGTGAACGGGGTTGTATCTCGTAGGGAGGCAGCTGGAAGCTTTACCTTGTGGCAGGGAAGTAGAGGTGAAGGTTGACTGGAAAAGAGCCTCTCTGTTGGATTCATCTTGAGGCTCCAAGCAGACCTGGTCAATATTGCTGTTGATATTCAACAGAACTTGATTAAGCCTTTGGGAAAAAAAAAAATCTGAGCTCTTGGCTTGCCAGTATCTACCACCTGGCCTTGGCCTGGTTTTGAGTAGCTGCAGTCCTTGGTTGCCAAAACTTCAGCTGGGGCAGAGGTCAAGGCGGGAGAGTGCAAATGGTTTTCGGGGGCAGTCAGGTTCAGCACAGAGATGGTGGCAGCTTACCGTCCCTGGAAGTGGTTGGTGCCGTTTGCACCGGGTGCGTGTGCCAGCGGCCCGCCTCGGGCCCTTGGGAGGTGTACCTGCTTGTGTGAATATGTGCCATAAAACGTACGACACTTGTTTGGTTTCTTACATGTAAATAAGTAAAAATGCAAAAAGTGAAGCGGCCTGGTGTGTTGTGACTGCAGACAGCAGTGCAGAACGGGGGAGTAAGGGGGAATGATTGCCAAAAGGAAATGTGCAGCGCGATGATGAAGTGCTCAAGGTTGGGTGCTGGGGGTTTGTTCTTTAGGCATCCAGGACTCTGCCGCTCTGGATCATGCAGCAGGAGCAAGAAGCCGGTTCCTCAAGAGGCCGGTTCCTGTCCTGCGAGGCCGGCATCCGCGCCTGAGGAGAAACCGAGGGCACCTGGACAGGAGATTGCGCTGATCGGAGGAACAGGGGGCAGATTTTTAGGACGTCTGCATGCGCCAAGACGAAGATGCCGACGCTGAGTGGTCTTTGTTGTTGCAGGGAATGCTCGCGCTGGTGCGTGTGC